CTTTCAAAAAAAAAAAAAAAAAAAAAAAAAAAAAAAAGATTAGGTGCAGTGGCTCATGCCTGTAATCTTAGCACGTTGGGAGGCTGAGGTAGGAGGACTGTTTGAGCCCAGAAGTTTGAGACCAGCCTGGGTGACAGAGCGAGACCTATCTCTACAAAAAGTTAGTCAGGTGTGGTGGCACACACCTGTAGTCCCAGCTACCTGGGAAGCTGAAAGGGAAGGATCTCCTCATCCCAAGAGATCAAGGCTGCTGTACTGCAGCCTGGGTGACAGAGCGAGACCCTGGCTTAAAAACAAACAAAAAACACAAGAGGTAAGAAGGGGCTAGATCACACAAAGGTCTTGAAATTATGATAAGGAACGTGGATTTTATTCTGCTATCTGTGAATGTAGGAGCCAGTTTGAGAGGTAAATAAAACTAAATACTGTATGATAAGCAGATAGCAACAAAATAGGATGTTAAATTAGAAAAATATAGTAAGAACCCATCTATATACCAATATCTCCCAAATTTATATTTCTAGCCCAGAATTCTCTCCTGAACTCAACTTAGGAGTTTAACTACATCTTCAAAAAAATCCACTTCAGTGTTTAGTAAGCACCTTATACCCAATAGATTCCAGACTAAACTCCTGATCTCCCCTGCCAAATCTGCTCTTCTGCTATCTTCTCCACTTCTAACTCAGATAATGGCAACTCCATCCTTCCAGTTGCTCAGCCGAAAACCTGGACTCTTTTTTTTTTCTCACATCACACATCCAGTTATGCTTCTGATCTCTATTATATGCTCTTTCTCCATAGCACTGCCAGCATCTGACATACGTCATTTGTTTATTTTTTCTTTTTTGAGTTGGAGTCTCACTCTGTCGCCCAGATTGGAGTGCAGTGGCTGCTCCCGGCCACCGCAACCTCGACCTGCTGGGCTCCGGCGATCCTTCCACCTCAGTCTTCCAAGTAGCTGGAACTATAGGCGCGCATGCTACCACGCCCAGCTAGTTTTTGATTTATTGTAGAGATGAGGTCTCGCCAAGTTGCCCAGGTGGGTCTCGAACCCGCGGGCTCAGGCAGTCCACTCACCTCAGCCTCCCAAGGCGCGGGATTATAGGCTGAGCCACCAAGCCCGGCTTTATTTATTTTTTCTAGTGTTTATCTTCCTTTACTAGAATGTCAGCTGTGTGAGGGCAGAGATTTTGATCTTTTTTGTTCCCAGCTGTATCCCCAGGGACCAGAACAGTGTGTGGCACAGAGTTAGCACCCAATGTATGTTGAATTAATCAGTGAATGACTACTCCACTCAAAGGAACCTGAAGTCCTCAAAAGATGGTTGTCTATGTTTAGGGACAGCAAATAAATAAATAAAGCATGGTATTATTGCTGGAGAGTAAGAATACTTTCAAGAATATTCTGGAGGTAATGCTCAAAGAATAGAGGAATGAATTTAACCAGCTAATGGATAATTTGAACATCAAAAAAGAAAACAAAATTAGTTAATGGTACAAGCTTAGCCTATGAAAGCTCAACTTTGAAAGAAAAGGAGAAAAATACAGAGTTCACCAAATGCTATAATTACATGTCTATTTATGGGATGTCAATGTGTACTCCTTTCTGTGTAATCAAGAAAAATATATAGAGATCTGATCCCTCCATTTCTCAAAGAAATAAACTAAGAGTAGGAAGAACTGACAGTTTTGATTACATAAAATAACCAGAAAGCTAGTTCAAAGTATATCCCAAGTAACCAAGAATTTTAACAAGGAGAGCCAGCTACATAGACTTAAATCTTTGTCTTCTAGAAAAATTAAACTTCTAGACAGTCCTACTAATTATAATAAAGCAATAAGAGAGTTAACCACATTTTTCATCACACTAATAGATCAGGTGAATATATCAAAAAGACCAGACAAGTGGGCAGGCACTGATAATACCTCATTTTGGGGAAAGATATTAAGTCTCAAAAGTTAAAATCTATTTAAAGGCCCAGGAATCCTATGATATAACAAAGAAAGCTATCTTATAACAGAATTTGTTGACCATGAAAGCAGGCCCTTCGATCAAACTATACACTAACTAACTAACTGGTCTGAACACCAAGATTTAGAAATCTCAGCAGGTCTGAGGTTCTTTTAGGTCCACTAACACTGAAACCCTGGAAAGATCTGAAAAAAGAAAAATTACTGAAGCCTTAAGGCAAGCAATGCTGGAAAAAATGAATGTAGGAATAAACATAAACACAGCCGGGCTCGGTGGCTCAGCCTGTAATCCCATGCCTTGGGAGGCTGAGGTGAGTGGATTGCCTGAGCCCGTGGGTTCAAGACCTGCCTGGGCAACTTGGTGAAACCTCATCTCTACAATAAAACAAAAAGTTAGCTGAGCGTGGTAGCACGCGCCTGTAGTTCCAGCTACTTGGAAGGCTGAGGCGGAAGGATCGCCGGAGCCCAGCAGGTCGAGGCTGCGGTGGCCGGGAGCGGCCACTGCACTCCAGTCTGGGTGACAGAGCGAGACTCCATCTCAAAAAAAACCAAAAAACAAAAAACAAACACAATGAAGAAGGAAGTATAGATCAGTAGTATTCATGCTTGTTCGATGTTGTTGCTTTAAGTGTATGTTTCAGTGTCCCCATACTCATTCCATCCAAGCCATACTCACTTCTCTTGGCAGTTTCCCTAGCATGTCAGGCACACTGTTCCTCTTGCCAGAAATGCTCTTCCCCAGATAGCCCCACAACTTGTTCACCCAATCAAATGTTTTTGTTTTCTTTTTTTGAGTTGGAGTCTCACTCTGTCGCCCAGACTAGAGTGCAGTGGCCGCTCCCGGCCACCGCAGCCTCGACCTGCTGGGCTTTGGCGATCCTTCCGCCTCAGCCTTCCGAGTAGCCGGAATTACAGGCATGCGCTACCACGCCCAGTTGATTTTTTGATTTATTGTAGAGATGAGGTCTCGCCAACTTGCCCAGGCGGGTCTCGAACCCGCAGGCTCAGGCAATCCACTCACCTTAGCCTCCCAAAGCATGGGATTACGGAATCAAATGATTTAAATGTCCCTTCTTCTGGGAGGCTTTCCCTAGCTACATTTCAAACCCTTCATCTATGCTTCCAATTGCCCTTCCCTGCACAAAACCTTAAACTCAAACTCAAAGGAAAAGCCCACACTTTTCCTTTCCATCACCACCAACAAAGATCTGCTTCAATCACCACTTAAGTTTGCTTCTTCTAAATTAATTCAACAAACAAAGCCAGGTCCAGTGGGATGCCTGTAGTCTCAGCTACTCGGGAGGTTGAAGCAGGAAGATGGCTTGAGTCCAGGAGTTTGAGACTGTAGAACACTACGATCAGGCCTGTGAACAGCCACTGCACTCTGGCCTTAGCAACCTAGTGGAACACCGTCTCTTAACTTTAGTCACCTGGGGTATAGTCAAAATTTCCCCCTCAGCCATTCAAGTAGCTGGGCTACAGGTGTGCTACCACAACTGGCTGATTTTTTTTTTGTAGAGACAAGACCTTGCCATGCTTCCCAGGCTGGTCCCGAATTCCTGGGCTCAGGCAATCCTCTCGCCTTGGCCTCCCACAGTGCTGGGATTATAGATGTGAGCCACCATGCCCAGCAAGGGCTGTAATTTTAGTTAGATTATGGAAGGCCTCATTGAGGAAGTGACATTTAAGCCAGACAACTGAGAGAGAAGAAAGGAAGCCACACGGTACCGAGGAAAGGAGCACTGCAGGCAGAGAATAGCTACTGCGATTGCCATAAGGGGGATCATTCTTGGGGTGTTGAAAGAAGCACGTGAAGGTCAGTGTGGCAAGAACATAGGGAATGAAGAGGAAAATTAGGATGTGAAATCAGAGGCAATTTGTTTGACTGTTACTAATAACAGGCTGAGACCTCACAGATTTGGTCATCATTGTGTTTATGTATAATGGTGCAGTCCCTCTAGATTTGTAAGTCTTTAAGGAACTCAGTTCATCTTGCTCATTGCTGCATCCCCCCTGCCAAGCACCATACCTGGCAATATAGAAAATGCCCAATAAATGCTTGTGTAAATGAATGATACAAAGACCATTTTTGGTGTGCTTATTATGTGCTACACCTGCACTTCCTCGGCCCCAGCTCTGAGGAGGGGAGATGGGTCTCAAGTATCATCGCAGGCAGCCATGGGGAAAGGGAGGAGTGTTGAAAATGGCAGTGTTTTCAGACACTATCCTCATGGAATTGACTTACTCTGTGAGGAGAGAGCTCTTACGATCAATGAACTTGAGGGCTTCTGCTAATGTCAACTCCAGGAAAAAACCATATCCCAGGGCCACGTAGATGCGTGAAGTATCTGGGCTGAGGAAAGAGAGGTTAGAGGAAGTGGGGGAAGACCTTACCACTGTTTAGCATATCATACTGTTTTTTTTTTTACTCCCCCCGCACCCTTCCCCAAATTGAGGATCTGAAAGGGCAAGGATTTTGTCCTGTTTATTCACTGTTATATTCCCAGCACCTAGTTTATATCCTACTGGGATATTCAACCTAGCATAGTGTCTGGTATATAGAAGATGCTCAAAAATATATTTGCTGCATGAAGGAAGGGGGAAGCTGAACACTATGGGCTCAGAGGGATGGGTAGACACTCACACCACTGTGTCAACGAAGAAGTTACAGCCCAAATCCACCTGCATATATAACTCCGAGTGCTTAGCTTCCTGTGGATCAGGGAAAAAGAGGTAGGGATCAGTGGTCATCCTTTAGGTCAAGTGACAGGTTTTGGTCTGAGGTCTCTTTTCCCATCTCCCTCCCTTACCACAAAAAATGGTACCCAACCCTGAACTCTTTACCTGGAGTCGCTCAATGACATTTTTCAGTTGAAGGTATTTGGCCAGCTGCTCATATACCTGGTCTCGATGGTCCAGTACCTTTCTGATGGGATGAAAGTACAATGGTGACCAACAGGCAGCCCTGCTCTTCCTGGGATACCTCATATCATGGCCCTCTGAGACCCTCACATCACCACACCCTAAAAAGGTGTTTTAGTGCATAAGTTAAGATTTTGGACTCTGGGTCAGACTGCTTGGGTTTGAATCTGGGTTCTACCCTCTAGTAGTTGTGTGATTTAGCAAGTAAGTAACCTGTTTGGGACTCAGTTTCCCCATCTATAAGTAGGGCCCAAGGAATGACAATATTACTTAAAGAGTTAGGATTGATTGTTTAATACAAAGCACTTAGAATGATGCCTGCCAAATGGCAAGCTTTCTATATACATGCTAGCTATTATGTATTACTATTACTACATTCTATTCCAAATGCTTCCCTCCAATCAGAATGTCCCATCCTTACTCTAGAAAAACCCTCCATCCCTTTTGAGGATGCTGATGGTTCTAGTTCTGAATACTTTACTTCCTGCTTAGATTAATAATGACAGCAGAAATAGTTCATAATCATTGAGCCTCTGGTATGTTTCAGGCATCCATGCTAATTTCTTTACAAGGATTAAACACACTGAAAACTCAAAACCACCTCATAAGGAAATTTCCATAAACCTCCCCATTTCACAGAGAAGGAAAATTTATAAGGCACAGAAAAGCGAGGTACGACGTATTCATAAGGATGTGGCCGAGTCAGGATCCGAACCCAAGAACTCTAGCACTGGAGTCTAGTTCTGACACATTACGCAACATCGGAGACGGCGCGTGCGCGGACACGCCCACTGCTAGGAACGCCACGTCCCAGCCAAATCGCACCCCGGATGTCGCCCCTCCTTCACGCTCGAAAGGCGCATGGGGCCGGGTTCTCAACGCCGCGCCCACCAATGCAAAGGTTGGGCCCCGTCTCTGAACGCCCTAGCCACCACGTGGATGTTCCAAATGTCCCGCCCCCTGCGCTGTCACTCACCGCAAGTCCCGCTGTAGCACATCACTGATGAAGGCCTCGTAGCGCAGCACTTTCTCCCCCGTGGCCTCCACCGCACGTCGTTTAGGGGGCGTCGCCATGATGGGTTCCTGAGGAGTGGGGAAAGGGAATACCACGTTGACCACTCCAGTTCGGCCTCATGCACTGTTCATCTCTACCCTACCAACGCTGGGAATAGGCTCATCCGGCCCATGCTGGGGATTCCGCCTTCTGCCCCCCCAACTCAGGGACCTGGCCACCCAGGGACACCCAAACGCGGTCTTTACCTCTGGACTGCCGGCAATAAGAACGATTTGTGTGAACCTCAGCTTCCTGGTGGCGCGGGTTAATGACGTAAGTGGCAAGCGCGCTGGCCAACCAAATAGCCAGGCGGGGAAGGGGCGGTCCCGGACGGAAGAAGGCCAAAGCGGGGAAGACAAAGGCGGGGTTTTACAGAATCCGAGGCAATCCCAGAAGGCTGTGGAGCGTGGAAGCACGGACTGTCTGTCAATAAACAGGCCAATGGGGGACTGCAAAAGTGGCGCGCGGAGCCTATGGGGACCGTGCATGGCTGGTGGGAACGGAGTTTAATGAGATTTGGCGGGTTCTGGGGTAGCAGAGACGAACGGGTGGGAGAGAGATGAAGAGAAGCATTTAGTATTTGAAAGGCAGGACCCAGGAAGCAGGCGGACAGGAATTGATTATGGTTCTGGTCTATAAGGAAGGGAGTATATTCCGTGTGATCTGTTGGCCTGGATATTGATTTTTCACATGAGAGGTTTGGGTTTCACTCCCAGTAATGGAAATGAGTGCGAACATTAACAAAATTTTAAATGTAGACGGGTTCTCTAAAATTCATCTTTGATGACTCCAGCTCTGCGGTCCGGACCCATAACTGGGGCTCAAGCAGAGATTGACAACGTTTAGTAGTCAAATGGAGGGCCGCTGATATTGTAGTTAGGAATAGTTCCTATGTTTTTATTTAAATGTATACACTTTTAATGAACTTATTTTTATGCACTCGAGTGACTGAACTTATTTCCCATGTTAGGTTTTCAGCGATCCTTCCACCTCAGCCTTCCAAGTAGCCAGAACTTCATACGTGTGCTACCACGCCTGGCTAATTTTTTTTCTTTTTTAATTTATTGTAGAGACGAGGTCTCATCGAGTTGCTTGGGCTGGTCTCGAACCTGAGGACTCAGGCAATCCACTCGCCTCAGCCTCCCAAAGTGCTGGGATTACAGGCTGAGCCACTGAGCCCGGCCTAAAACTGTATATTTTCAACTGTATTTTTACATTTAAACCTTCAGAAAAGTTGACAGTGAGCACCCATATAGCCTGTACTTAGATTCACCAATTGTTAATATTTCACCACAATTGCTTTCTCTACTTCCAGACCACAGGATACTTGTTGACATGGCTGCATAGCATTCCATCCTTTGGATAGCCTCAGATTTTTGAGCCACTCCTCTATTATTCGATGTTTGATTGTTTATTTTTTTCATTGCTATAATCCAGGATGGGATGACAGTCTTTGCTTTCAAATTTTTGTGTGTAGCCATGATTATTTCCTTGCGAAAATTCATAGAAGTAGAATTTATGGATCTAAGGGAGGTCACTACATTGTGAATCAAGTATTAAATGACAATTATACACATACTCCCAATAACAAACCTCCTTGTCTAAGTTTTACATCAGGGGTCAGTAAACTGTAGCCTCTAGTTTGCTGACTTCATGTTTTTCTATGGCTTGCAAACTGAAAATGCTATTTACATGTTTAAATGCTTGGAAAAAGTAAAAAGAACAATATTTTGTGGCACATGAAAGTTATAAGAAATTCACATTTTAGTGTCCAATAATAAAGTTTCATTGGAACAAAGGCATACTCATTCGTTTACATATTATCTGTGACTGTTGTCACACTACAGTGGCAGAGTTGAGTAGTTGCCAAAGAGACTGCATGGCCTGGACATCCTAAAGTATTTACTATCTGACCTTTTGCAGAAAAGATTTGCCAACTCCAGCTCTATACAGTGTCAGTGGCCAGTACAGAGATTAGGGCTATAACCATGTGGGTTTATCTGGCTTCTACTGGCGACCTCTTACCTGACTTATGGGTGGGTATTGTCAGGCTGGTGCTTCTGGGGAATATGAGAGACATAGTCAACCTGTCTCCAGCTCCATCATGAGATATGAGATGGACTGTCTCTCATATCTCCATTTCTATCTTCTCTCCCTCCTATCGAACTTCCTACCCCCGTTTTTCCTCCAGCTCTGACTTACAAGGCTCTGTCTTTGCCTTTTCCCAAGAAGAGCAAGGAATGACTGAGGTCCAGGTGAGCCTACATTTCTCTGATAGCTAATGATGTAGAACTTCTCGTCAGGTGCTTATTTGTCATCCATATATTCTTTTGTTTTTTTTTGAGTTGGAGTCTCACTCTGTTGCCCAGACTGGAGTGCAGTGGCCGCTCCTGGCCACCGCAGCCTCGACCTGCTGGGCTCGGGCAATCCTTCCGCCTCAGCCTTCCAAGTAGCTGGAACTACAGGCGTGCGCTACCACGCCCAGCTAATTTTTTGATTGATTGTAGAGATGAGGTCTCGCCAAGTTGCCCAGGCGGGTCTTGAACCCGCGAGCTCAGGCAATCCACTCACCTCAGCCTCCCAAAGCGCAGGATTACAGGCTGAGCCACTGAGCCTGGCTCGCAAACACTTTTAATTTTGAATTCAAGTTTATTGATTTAAAAATTTTTTGGATTGTGCTTTTGGTGCCATGTCTAAGAACTCTTTGTAAGCCCTAGCTCCCAAAGAGTTTCTCCTATGTTTTATTTTTAAAATTTTCTGTTTTACATTGAAATCTGTGATCTATTTTTAAAAGCAACTTTATTGAGATATAATGTATATATCATAAAATTCATACATTTGAAGTGCACAATTCAGTGATTTTTAGTATATTTACAGATTTGTGCCAACATCATCACAATCTAAGTTTAGCACATTTTCGTCACCCCAAATAGAACACCCATACCCACTTCTCAGTCAGCTACCCCCACCCCAGCCCTAAGCAACCACACATTTACTTTTCATCTATGTAGATTTGTGTATTCTGGACATTTTACATAAATGGAATCATACATTATGTGGTCTTTAGTGTCAGGCTTCTTTCACTTAGCATAATGTCTTCAAGGTTCATTTATCCATGTAATAGCATTTATCAGCACTTTATTCTTTTTTATGTCTGCATACTATTGTATTGTGCATGTATGCCATATTTTGTCGATCCATTTTTAACAATTTGAGTAAAATGTAAAGTCCTTACCCCCTTATAAGTCCCTTTATCCTTCCCTTTCATAATATTGCATGTTAAGTATTTCCTTTATATACATTGAAAACCACATTAATGTTACAATTTTTGCTTTAACCGTCAAGCACCATTTAGAAAACTCAAGGGAAAAAGTGAAGTCTTTTATTTCTCCTATTTTTGCTCATTCTGTTGTTTTGTCTTCCTTTCTGATGTTCCAAGATTCCTTTTTGTATCATTACCCTTCTGTTATAAAGATTTCCTTTAGTCAGTTTTTTTTTGTTTTTTTGTTTTTTTTTTTTTAGTTAGGGTCTCACTCTGTCACCCAGGCTGGAGTGCAGTGGCACAATCATGGCTTACTGCAACCTCAACCTTCCAGGCTCAGGTGATCCTTCTGCCTCAGCCTCCCAAGTAGCTGGGACTACAGGCGCACACCACCATGCCCAGCTAATTTTCTGATTTTTTTTTGTAAAGACAAGGTTTTGCTATGTTGCCAGTTTGGTTTCGAACTCCTGGGCTCAAGCAGTCCTCCGACTCCAGCCTCCCAAAGTGTTGGGATTACAGGCGTGAGCCACTGCACCAGGCCCAAGTCAGTCTTTCAAGGTAGGTCTGTTGGCAACAAATTTTCTTAGTTTTCCTTCATCTGAGAATGTCTTGATTTCCCTGTTATTCTTGCAGGACATTTCTGCTGGTTAAAGAATTCTTGGTTGGCATTTTGTCAGTTGAAAAATGTGCCACTTCCTCTGGCCTCCATGTTTTCTGTCGAGAAATTCACTTTCATTCAAATGATTTTTCCTATGCAGATAAGGTGTTTCTCTTCCTGCTTTCAAGAATTTATTTTTGTCTTTAGTTTTCAGAAGTTTGACTCTGATATGTCTTGGCATGGGTTTCTTTAGGTTTATCCTGTTTAGGGTTTGCCTAGCCTCTTAAATCTGTAGGTTTATATTTTTTGTCAAATATGGCAACATTTCAGACATGATTTCTATGAATACTTTCTCAGCCCTGCCCTCTTTCTCCTCTCCTTCCTGGATTTCAATGACACAAATGATAAAATGTTTGGCTCCACTGGTCCCCTAGGCTCTATTCATTGTTTTCCAGTCTCTTTTTCTCTGTTGTTCAGACTGAGTAATTTCTATTGTTCTATCTTCATGTTCACTGATTCGTTCTTGTGTCCTCTCATTCTGCTTTTGAACCTAGCCATTGAGCTTTAGAATTCAGTTATTGTATTGTGAGACAAAGTACAATAGACTGCTCCAATTGTAATGTAAGAAACTATGTTTGCTCATTCTGTTTGCCAGCAAAATTTCCCCAAATTCCTTACCAGCAGAATTACACAAGTCCCTGACTCAGTGACTGAGCGCAGCCCTCTGGAAGAACGTCCTGAACACGATAAGCAGGATGAAGCACAAGTTCCCACGGCTCTTACCTGAATCATTGCATTTTTAGAAAAGATAAGTTCAGTGATCTTAGCCCCTTCCTCTTCCTGTACATAAGATCATGCCCAACAGGATTAACGATTATGCCTCTGTAATCTATAACCAGATGTACCCTCGCACCAAAACCTTGATGAGATTTTGTTCTATTGTAACTTCTGAGCACATTCAGTGTAACTTCTGAGCATATTTGATGTAACTTCTAAGCTCATGCCACGCTGCCACCTTTTATGTATAAACTATGGGCTGAATGAGCAGTCTAACATAAACTCTCTGAAAGACTCTCAGGTTGCAATCTTCACTAAGACTTCTGAATAAAACTAACCTTAATTTTTTAAAAGCCTGATATTTTTCTCTTAAGTTGATGGTATTTTTTAGTTCTAAAGTTTCTATTTGGAAATTTTGTGACTGCAGAGCCTTTATGAACTAATCACCTCCCAAAGGCCACACTTCTTAATACTGTTGCTTTAAGGATTAAGTTTCAACATCTGAATTTGGGGGAACACATTCAGACCACAGCAGACCCGTTCCAGTCTCCTGAGCAGACGTGCAGATTTACTCATGTGCGCAGTCCTCCAGACCACTAGGGATAAGTAGGCTCTTATCAAGGCCCCCCTTTTAAA